TTGTCTCGAAAGACCCACCGACGGGCCTGCCTCCGGATCGAGGCGTGTGTCATGAGATTGACCTGGTTCCTGGAACCAAATACTGCGTAACAAGGCAATGGCCTTTGCCGAGAGAGCAGTGTGACGTCATTGACGCATTCTTCCGTGCGAAGCACGAGGCAGGGTTGGTGCGTGAGAGTAAGTCTCCGCACTCGACACCCACGTTCTGTGTCAGAAAGCCGAACGGCAAGTGGCGCATTGTTCATGCTTTTAACAAGCTAAATGCGGCCACTATCCCGGCGCAAACGCCGATTCCTCGCAAGGATGTTCTGCAGAACAACATGGTAGGCTGTACGTTGTACAGCGCGCTCGACTTGGTCGATGGCTACTACCAATTGCTCATGAGAGCGAGCGACATTCCGCTGACAGCGGTGAGTACACCGAGCGGTATGCTCTGGGAGTGGCTGGTGATGCCCCAGGGGCTGTCGAATGCACCAGCAACGTTCAATCGTCTTGTGACGCAGCTGTTTAGGCCCCACCGGGCGTACGCTCAAACGTACTTTGACGATATATTCGTCCATAGTCGTGCTGAGCACGGAAAGTCAGACGTGGAAAACCACATTGACCACTTGCGAGCGGTGCTCGAGTGCATGCGCACTAATAAGTTGTATGCCAACTTGGACAAGTGCGTCTTTGGCGCGGAGGAAATACCTTTCCTCGGGTGCTTCATTGGGAAGCGAGGCTTAAGGGCAGATCCTGCCAAAGTCAAGGCCATCGTGGACTGGCCGGTTCCCAAGAACCAAAAGGACTTACGCAAGTGACTAGGCTTAGCCAATTACTTGCACAAGTACAGCGCAAACTACGCGGAGATAGCTCGGCCATTATCAGATCTCCTTTAGAAGGACGCACCATGGTGCTGGAACGTCGAGCACGACGGAGCCTTTGAGGCTGTGAAGGAGAGCCTTCTCCAGGCTCCGATCCTTGCGCTACCGGACCCGGATAGTCCGTTTAGCGTCGTTTGTGACGCCTCCGATTTTGCAATCGGTTGTGCTTTACTACAAGCAGACGCCGAAGGGCGTGAACGCGGGATCGCGTTTGAGTCTCACCAGCTCAAAGCTGCAGAGAAGAACTATCCAGCTCATGACAAATAGCTACTTGCAATGAAGTATGCTCTATTCAAATGCAGGGTATACCTTCTAGGCTCTAAGCCTTTTGTGATCTTTGCTGATCATGCGTCGTTACGCACTGCGACACAGTCGCCTCATCTCTCTCAGAGAATGGCAAGATGGGTTTCCTTCTTTGCCGAGTATAACTTCGAGGTGAAGTACAAGCCGAAGCGGCTTAACGTAGTGGCCGATGCGCTCTCGCCCAGGCCGGACTACGAGTTAGCTCATTTCACGACAGTGACGTCGTCAGTGCCTGACTTGATACGCGGAGCGTATGCACAAGACGGCATGTGCGTAGCGCTTCTACGGGCTCTTGGGAGTGAAGAGCTTAAAGACTCTGACAAGGAATTGTCTGGGCGCTTACGCGCGAGGCTGCATCGATACTCGCTCGATGGCGGCCTGCTGTACTACAGCACCGACTCTGAGGATAACCCTCGTGTAGTCGTTCCTCATGATGAGGATCTAAAGTATCGAATCCTCTATGAGATTCGTGATACGCCCGTGGGCGGGCACTTAGGTCGGGAGAAGACCTATGGCTCAGTGAGCTTGATGTACTGGTGGCCCAAAATGTATAAGTGGGTCGGCACCTATGTACGCACGTGTGAGACGTGTCAACGGACGAAGTCCGCGCCGAGCACGGCAGCGTTATTGGCGAGTTTGCCTGTCCCAAGGGATGTTGGCAGTCCATGAGTATGGACTTTGTGTTTGGCCTTCCCAAGGACAAGGCAGGAAACACGGGTATGGTGGTCTTTGTAGACCGATTGAGCAAGATGGCTCATTTAGCGGCGGTGCCGGACACCATAGATGGTGAAGGTACAGCTTTGCTGTTTTTAGACCGAGTCTTTCGCCAACATGGCTTGCCTGAGGCAATTGTCTCGGATCGAGACCCGCGCTTCACCGCGAAGTTCTGGACGTCCCTCTTCAGAGTGCTTGGCACTCGTTTGGACATGTCCACAGCGGACCATCCGCACACCGATGGTCAAACAGAACGCGTGAATCGCGTTGTGGGGGACATCCTCCGAAGCGTATGCGCTGAGGCGCCAAAACGCTGGAACCAGATGCTCCCACTCGTTGAATTCGCATTAAATAATGCAGTGCACGCCTCGACAGGCTACACTCCGTTCTATGTGAACGGCTTGGTTAACCCTCGCGTCCCACTGACGCCGCCACGCAGTGGCTCAGGGCTTGATGGGGGAGGGATAGCCGAGCAGCTAGCTGATGTCAGCCCTGTTGCGGCTCGCAAGCAAGTCAATAACTTTGTCTCTTTGAGACTAAGCGTAATGCGTCAAGTACGCGACGCTATGGCTGAAAGCCAAGACATGCAAAAAGAACATGCAGATGCCAAATGCAGACGCAATGAAGAAAGGTTTGAGGTCGGGGACCAAGTTTTATTAAATGCAAAAAAACCTACCTACTCATGCAGTGTCTGCAGTCTTTAAGACAAAATTGAGACCACGGTTCATAGGACCGTTCAAGGTCGTGGCCAAGAAGGGCCTAGCGTATACGCTTAACCTTCCGAAGAAGATGCGCACGCATCCAGTCTTCTATGTTGGCTTACTCAAGCCGTATCAGGACCATGCTCAGGTGAGCGCGGAGGCGTTGGCGCCAACGGTGGCTGGGCCACGACAGCCTGCGCAACAGCGGGAGGCCGAACCACGGCAGGCTGAGCGACAGCAGGTGGCGGGGCCACAAGACGCAACAGCAAGTCGATCTGACCTTGCAGCTGAGCGACTTGACGCTCAAGGTCCGCGACTCGGTTCTGAACCGACTGTGGTTGTTTAAACCAGTCCACGCGGTGGTTCGTCTCATCGAGACCATCTGCAAGGCGACTCAGAGTCAGTCGTATCATGGAGATACTGGTTCAGAGAACACACACGCTGCTCCAGCGCGAACACGTCGCTGCGACTCGCGACGCGAGAGTCCAGCTGAGGCTCGGCCTCCTCCTGGTCTGCTCGACGAGCACGGCGAGCTCCACTTCCATGTGGAACGCCTGGTGGCGAGGCGCAGGCGCCAGGGTCGTACTCAGTACCTTGTGAAATGGAGGGGTTATCCTCACTCACAAAACTCTTGGGAGTTTGAGGTTGTCCTCCGGCAGGACTGCCCTGACGTCGTCGACGCTTTTGATCGGGCACACTCACTGCCCCGCCGCTACGGCATACGACCGCGTCGTCAGGCGCCGAGCGCTTCCCGCCGCTAGAACGCGGGGATGACAGGTCGGTGGCTGAGCTCAAGCTCCGACCAGTGGCTGGAGCAGCCGGCTCATAGGAAAGAGCGGTGCTCGCAGCATGAGCAAGAGGTGGTGATGCCTCGAGGTGATGGGGACAGGGTCCCAGTGTTCGTCGACGTGCTTTCGACTTAGCGAAGTCTAAGCGCAAACGTCTCTCAAGACGAATATCACTTTCAGCGAAACTTGCTCGAAGAGCATTGTAGGAGGGGAGCCGTCGAGCTCCCTCCACCCAGCTTCGGAATTGTGCTTCATAAGCACGCTGGGATTCCCCAGGGTTGAGAACAACCGGGATGGTTCGCATAGAGGTAACCGGTTGGCGGTTTAGCTGCATCTGCAGGCGCGCCTGATACTCCTGAGGAGTTGTGACTTGTGGAGTCAGATATCGGTCTCGGAGCTGGTGCCGTTGCACTTGCTCATCAGCAGTCGAGGCCGCAGGCCCACACGTGTACGTGCTCAGCGGCTGCTGCGCCGCGAGGCGGGCCGCTTCGGCAGGGTTCCGCGGCTAAAAGCCGTAGTCACGGCGTGACGTTAGAACAAGTGGTCGGACCCCAGGTCGGAACGACTGCGAGCGCTGCTCATTGGACAACTGACGGCCTTGTGCCTCGTCCAGGTCATTCGTAATGACGTTGTGATCGTATCGATCTTCCTCGTCATACCGCGACGATAGCGGTGGCGCATCGCGCAGCGAGCGAATCGGATTCGAACGTTCAGAGAACGGATGCGGTGTCCGCAGGTCTCTTCTTGTTTGAGATCGCGCCGTTGAGCGGCTAGACCTCACAGAGGAAGCTGGGGAAGACGCGGCACCAGTGTGCGACCTCGGAGAGGTTGGGTTGGAGTGATCCTCACTACCCATGGGCTCGTCGTAATCGACTTCGCCCTCTTCGAGTTCCGAGAACAGACCATCGTTCCCTCTGGGCGGCGCCCGCGGCTCTGACGAGCCTTGAGCTTTGCTCTCTTCTTGTTGACGGCTCATGGAGCGTTGACCGTGTCGACGGCGATACTCTTGGTGGTACTCTGCCACCGAAAGAGACGAAGATGCTCTTGGAGCAGTTGCGGAGCGCAGTTAGGGGTCTGGGACCGACGAGGCAGGGGCGGCGCGACGCGCTGGAGACGTTGGGCCGTGGGCCGGAGTGGGAGTGCCAGGCATCAAGGATGCGAACGCGTTTGTGAGCTCGTGGAGCTGCAGAACGCACAGGTGAGGTCTAGTGACCTCCGTCGTCTTGACAAGACGTGACCTCGCTGAGGAAAGTTCGAGAACGGAATGTTCTCATCTTAGTGAGGGAGAGTGTAACGGGTTACATGGTGTGGAACACACAGGGGTACGAAGTACCCGGAGAGTTAACAAACTCTCAGTACATAAGTTGGAGAGTTAACAAGGTCTCTCAGTACGTTGGCTGAAAGCCACACGTTATGCATTTGATTAGGTTTAACTATGCTAGATAGTTAAAGAGATACATTTATACCTAGGCGGCTTGGCCGCAATAATAGTAAATAAAGCACTTCTGGTTTTGAAGCATAAAAGTTAAAGTATTAACTTTGAGCCCTGGTATTGGGCTGTAAGTGTCCTTTGGATAAGGAACTTAGTATTAGTGACTCTTTGAGTCGAACGTCTTCCTCTGACGCTAAAGCTACGGCAGCCCCGCTGCATTTTTCTTGCTCAGTAACTCGAACGAAATGTCGGATGGAGAGCCCTCTCGTACCGAAGTCCCATCCAAACAGGCCACGCAGAATAGCAGGGTGTGGAAAGAAACCAAATTTTCTCCAGTGAATTTGAACAAACCCCACAAAGCGCTGTGCTGTCATAGACACGTACTTACCGTTGATGAGAGAGTGATATATTCCTGTTTGCGTTCCAGTTGGCTGGAATTGACACTTGTCTTGAGTCTCCGCTATATGCGGTCGCGAAACCGCGGTTGGGTCGACAACTGGCACTGTTCGATGTTGCGAGAGTAATTGATCGACATCTTTCTGTAGCTGTCCATCTCCATCACAACGAACCCCACGTCGCTGCATACGATCTTCAGCGCAGCTGCCGGTGTTGGCAGCGCTGTTCACACGTCTGCGTTTTGACGCCGACTCCGCTGGAGGCCTGTCCAGTCGCACCGACACCTGGGGCTCGCTATCGTCCTCCGCGTCACTAAGACCATCACTGAACACAGGTTCGCTCTGCGGATTTAGCTCACGACGATTCGATCTGGACCGGTCCTGACTGTTGTCGTCTTCGCTGGGTAAGTTGAAAATGCTATCGCCCAATTTAATTTCGGGTGGTGCCGTGCGCTTTCCGTCTTTGTAGTAGACGTAATCAAGGATGTGTTGAATGGTCACTTGATACACTTTGAAACTTGTTACATCAAGGAGTGGCACCAGTTTTGACTCATCGATGGGAGTGCTGCCAACTTCAGCGAGCAGAGCTGTCGAGTCCCGAACAGCCAGCTGGCCAACTCCGCTAAACTTGTTGTAGATCTTTTCGTGTCTCTGCTTGAGTTCAAGTGGCATAATCAGACCCACGCCACGACCACCACAAGGCCGCAACACATAAATCTCAACAGCAACATCCTGAATCGAGTTTGGCTTATGTGCAACCTGTAGTTCGACCCCGTCAAAGTTAACATCAAGGGTTCCTCGAAGCGACTCTTCATCCCAGTCATAACCAACGACTAATCCGTAGTCCCAAATTCGGGCCTTCCCTGGGGGCACCCTTGGCGTGCATATAGCGCTTCCCACGAAGGTACCCACTCCATCTAGGGCCTCCTGAGTTGTCACCACTCTCGGAGTTATCTCTGCGTGAACAAGTTCGACAGTCTCAGTCTGACTGTCTGCCCATCGACCACTCGGAACGACCTTGACCTTGATCTTTCCTCCACGTGTCGCCTGACCTTCCGAGACACCGTAGGTGAAACCAATGAGGCTGAAGGCGCCCGGAAGAAGGTTAAATAGGTATTGCTCATGAAGGGCTGATGAGCTTGTCCGATAGGGTTTTCTTGGAGGTTGTTAGCTGCGAAAAGAAAGCGAAGGTGAGCTGGAAGCAACTGAGCTTCTCGAGCTCCTACAGAACTAAATATAACTAACTGCGACATCGGGAAAATACGCCTTCGTCGGCAACTTGCACATCTCATGTTGCCGTTGCCTCCGCAACCAGCAATTCTCCAGGAACGACTCAACCATCGACCGCAGATCTGCCTTCGACCAGCCCGTCAGTGACCACGCAGTCAGCGGCAAATCCTCCAGCGACCACACGAACTACCCCGACGACCCCTGTAACTTCGACTCCGACGACAACGACAGCCCTGTCAGATACAGCGACGCCTTCGGCAACCACTTCCGCGAATCCTGCGACTATTGCTCCACCTACTAGCGAAGGATTTCCTGATGACGTGCCTAGTCTTGCAGATACACCGAGGACTACCCCGACGGATACTGCACCACCGCCCTCCTGTCCAATGACGGGAACTCCTACGACAACAATTTCTCCGGTGACTGAATCTCCAACGGCATCCTCGCAGCTGACAGCAACAGCGGCAGCACCATCAACGCAATCGGTACCAACAGGATCGACTCCAACACCACCAACGCCATCGACCGCTGGTTCGTTCTCCGACATATCGATTCTCGCGGACCCTCCATCGTCAACAACTCCTTCGTCAGCGCTTCAATTGATAATCCTACGGAAGATTATATTTCTACAAACAGATGAGATACCTCTGGGTACTACGACAAGACCGCCTAGCGAAACAAGGACATGGAGGACGAAAAACACGATGCAATGGTCATTAGGAACTCCGTTCTCGCGCTCATAACTGCACCTGCCACCCAAGCCACAGAGGCGCCAGAAGACAAGCGCAACTCGATGATTGTAAGCTCGACTCAGATTCCTGTGGCTGCATGTTGACCCAGCAGTTTCCTTTTAAAGAGACCAATAAGAAAAATTCGTATTGCCGAAACAGGGGGACACTGAAATATCTGCACATTTTCTAAAGTTAAGTTAATAAATGTCAGTTTCAGGGTGGATCATCTGAGGGTTGATTTTGCCAAGTCGGTTGGCAGTTGGTCCAACTGCCTCGTCACGCAGCAGTTGAACAAAATGGAGCAAACCCAAGCTTCATTGGGTGAGTTGCTCGATTCTGATTGTAGTTCAGAAGGCATTTTTATTTGCACCTCAGCTAAGGTTATTTCGTGAGTGTTCTTTGAGTCAAAACCATCTGGCAGTCACTCTCGTTTTTCCTGTGATGGCGCGGAAATGGTTCAAGCTCGTCGGCAATGACGGCAAAGCGCTGACCTTGCCTGATACTGTTGCCGTGGACATTGAAGATGTTGCTGCGTTATGCCATGCGGTAAAACAAACATTGAACGACAGCCACCTTGCGGGGGTTGCTGCGGCGAACCTCACAGTCTTTGCGAGCCAGACGGAGTATAACGAGAAGCAGGCGTTGGAAAGTGATTCGCCTATTGGATCGTTTGGTGGTTCAAAGAAGGTCGCGCTCATCGTGCAAGCCCCTCAGCGCACAGACTTCGCGCTGACAACGCGAGCCCGCTACCCAGCCTTTCTGAAGAAAGCGATTGAGATCGCCAACTTGATGTTGAAGCATTGTGGGTCTTTAGAAGCGGAGTTGGGCACAGATCGAACGACAAGAGCTAATCTTCGTGATGTTCAAGTGCGATTTAAGAAATTCGATAAAGGATCTATCTATGGCTGGACAGAACGTGTATCAGATATGATAGGTGTAGACTTTCAGCCAATCAAAGACAGGCTCAGTTTAACATAGATTCAGTATGTAATACAAAAAGGCAGATGTAGGGCGGCCGTGGAACCTTCTAGAAGGTTCTAGAAGGTTCCATCCGCCTGAACTGCGGGGGCGGCACTTCTCGTTTCGCGCGCCCTCCCCAAGCTAGCGTTTCCTGAAATACTGGTAGCACTTGCAACCTGACCAGAAGGAGCCCATGCCAACAATCGCCCAGCTACGCGCCGAGATCGATCGGCTGAACCAAGCGATGGCCGACCGCACGAAAGTGCCGAGCCATCTGCCCAAGTTCACGGGCAAGAGGGGGGGAGACGTCCGCGAATGGCTGTTCCAGATCGAGAACGCCTGCCGCATCAACAACATTCCAATTGAAGACACGAGCGCGCGTCTTCCTGGAATCGCCGGATCGGCAATGGAAAAGCCAGCATCCGGATGGTTTCTGCACTGGGGGGTCCACAACTCGAGCGGAGGAGCACACGTGGGGGATTTTCCGTGAGCATGTGCTCCACACTTCGAACCGTCGAATTACCAGTCTGTCCTGCGCGAGAAGCTTCAACGCCTCAAGCAGACAGCGGACATCGAGACCTACAATGGCGAGTGTTCAGCCTTGATCTTCAGAGTTGAAGGAATGAGCGTGCTTGACCAAGTACTATACTACGCGAACGGTCTCAAGCCGCGCACGCGTAGCTATGTCAAGCTCGAGAACCCAGAGACCCTGAGTGACGCAATGGAACTTGCGGTCAAGTATGAGGTGACACACTTCGTCGACGAGTCGCGCGAACGTCACACTCGCCAAGACAAGCGGAAGCCGTCCACTGAGCACGCGCCGAGTCATGACAAGTCGCTCAAGGGAAAAACGTTTCGTGGTAAAGGGCGTTTCAAGGCGAAGACTAGCTCGAAACGAGCCGAAAGTCGTACCTGTTTCCACTGCAAGAAACCTGGCCACATCAAGACCAACTGCTTCCTTTGGAAGAAGGAGCAAGAGAAGCAGGGAAACGGGCAGCCACGTCAGTGAATGAGGGTCCTGTCGTGGAAGAGAACGTAGCCGGATCAGTTAAGTTTGAGAATGTCAGCCTTAACGCTCTGAGCGAAAACCCTCTCGTCTACAAGTCGCGTCCACTGTTCTCCGTAGAGGGGGAAATCATCGTTAGTGGCGCGACAATTTCGACCCAAAGGATGCTGTTGGACTGTGGAGCAACCACAATCTACGTGTCCAGACAGTGGGTCGAGAAACATCGACTCAAGGCCACGAAGTTCATTGGTAAGAACATTCGTGTGAAACTTGGAGACAACCAGATTGTCGAGACGGAACTGGAGGTACTTCCCCTCGAAATCCTGGTGTCTGGGTTGGGCGAGGCATACAAGTGTATCGCTGTCGTCTACGCCATACCCGACGAATTCGACTGCATCCTTGAAATCCCATTCTTCGAGGATATGCAGCCGCAGATCGACTGGAGAGGTCGATGTATCGAAGGAACGTAAGTGAAGACTCTGCATTGGAAGCGAACAGGGGAAACCAGTGGACCGATCGAGGAAGGCGGACCGGTGATTGCCTCCGGGCTTCGGAGATCTGTCGAGGCGAAAGGCCTATCGGCGAAAAGACCCGATTCCTGTCGAGGTGCCGCGCTGGAAACGGATGTGAAGTCCGCGGCTGAAACTGTTTGCGACGCAACGCAGAAAGAGAGCCCAAGAGTTGTTTGCGAACAACCAGGAGACGCGTCAGCCGGCAAGGGTTCGGCGGTGAAGGACAACTTGGAATTGTCGAAACGCGGCGGTACTGTACGAGAGGCTGGAGATAGCAGCAGTACTGGGGGCAGAGGCACTGTCGCGGAAAATATGTTCACGATGGGTGTCGTTGACGAGGCTGGTGTCCAAACGAAGTTCATCACTCGCAAGAAACTACAAAAGTTCCTGAGAATCAAGACCAAGTCGATCGATGAACCTGACTTTATGTTGGTTCTGACGAACGTGACGATCAAGCAAGTTGCTCGCTCACTGCAACGGCAAGATCAACCCGACAACGTCGGAAGTGCGAAAGCACAACGGTATCTGGATACGGACTGGGATAGCTTCAAGGGGAATCCCGCGTACCAGTTACTCATGGAGTACATGGACAATGTGTTCCGTCCTGAGCTCCCAGAAGGTTTACCCGAGAAACGCGAGATTGAGCATAGGATTGACGTGGAGGATCCGAATCTTGCAATGTATCGGCAACAATGGCGTCAATCGCCAGAGCAGCAACGCGAGATTGTGCGTTGGGTGGTAGACATGGTGAAGAAGAAGCTCATCCGTCCAAGCATCAGTCCACATGCTGCTCCAACGTTCTGTGTACGAAAACCAGTTGGCTGGAGGATTGTACACGACTACCGGTACTTGAACTCCAGCACTGTACGTCAAAGTATCCCAATGACGAGGAAGGAGGACATTCTTGACGCGATGTCCGGAGCGTACTGATTTTCCACTATGGATTTGATGTCCGCGTACTATCAAGTACGTATGCGTGAAGAGGATATCAAGTTCACAGCATTTCAAGCGCCAAATGGACTCTGGGAGTATCTTGCTCTGCCCATGGGAGTCTGTAATGCACCAGCGACGATGCATCGTTTAACGTCAAAGCTGTTCCGAGGTTTGGAAAACACCAAATCGTTTTATGATGACATCTACGTTTTCACGAAGTCTCAGAGCATCGACGACCACTTGAAGGCGTTGCGCAAGACATTAAATATCCTGCGTGACAACAAGCTGTACGTCAAGCTTGCCAAGTGTGTCTTCTGTGCCGACGAGATTCCGTGTCTCGGGGACTTCGTAGGACGCAACGGTGTACGGATGGATCCGGACAAGGTACAAACCATCAAGGACTGGCCAGTACCACGAACACAAGAGGAACTGCACAGCTTCCTTGGGTTGACTGGCTACGTCCAACGATTTTGTCCAGACTACGCAGCATTTACTGCAACAATGTTCACTCTCTTGAAGAAGAAGAACAAGAGGAACGCAAAGATCCAATTCAATGATGAGCAGTTGAAGAATTTCAAGGAGCTGAGGCGACTGTGTAATCCTCCAGTGTTGCACCTCCCTAACTTCAGCCAGTCCATGCATCTGCGCACTGATGCAAGCAAATTCGCTGTTAGTGGAGTATTATTCCAAGTCGTGGACGGAGTTGAGCGACCCATTGCGTATACCAGTCGAAAGATGAAATCCGCGGAGCTCAACTATCCAACACAGCAGCAGGAGCTACTTGCTATCGTACACGCACTAGCAGCTTTTCGAATTTACTGCTTGGACAAACCACCGATCGTCGAGACGGATCACAAAAGTCTCGAAGGGTTGTTCACACAGAAGATGGCGAACCGCCGATTGCTAGGTGGTACAACATTCTAGCTGAGTACCAACCCACGTTCTCGTATCTTCCAGGTGCGAAGAACGGTATCGCGGATGCATTGAGTCGTAGACCTGACTTGCAGCCAGATACGAAGTATTTCAATGACCTGAGTGTGTCCAGCTTCAACGACACTTCCTTCAGTCTTGCTCTTAGTCAAGTGTCTACAGATTCAGAGCTGCTGAAGAGGATCAAGTGTGCTTACGTCAAAGATCGAGATGTCCAGACAATCCGGGCAGCAATCCAGCGACGTACAAGCACCTCAAAGTCGAAGGAAAAACACCAGCACCACAAGCTATACCGATACTATTCGGAGGCAAACGGCTTGCTGTGGTACCAGTCTCCGGTGGATGACCATCCTCGAATCGCTGTTCCCAACGATGTGAAGTTGAGACAATCGATAATCAAGGAGAGTCATGACACCAACTACAGTGGCCATCCTGGTGCCGAGCGAACGTACTTGACGTTAGCACGACGCTGGTA